AAAAAAGATAAATAAAAAAAAATGGCGCAATTCTGTTTTAATTTCTACCTGCTTGGATTTAGAATTGAGTTTGCATTACAAATCGCTTTTTTAGGATCCTCTACCATGATCTAAATAAGACTTTACCATCATCGAAATGAGATTTCATCGCCGTCTTTGTTGCCGCCGGATTAATATTGGATTTAGATTTTGAGTCGTCACCGTTTCATTTTCATTCCGCAACATTTTTTTCGGTAATATTAATTTTGGTTCCCTTTGGTTCGGCACTTCGGAACGGAGAAAAAGAAAAGTCATTAACGGTATCAAAGGGATCGATATCAAAGGGATTAAAATCAAGATGTTTGGTTGAAACACATTAAACAAGTATTGATTTACAATCGATATGCATTGAAATGATCTACGCTAGATCAGTTTACTTTTTGCACATTTGCTCCATTTCTCTTTAGAAACAGTGAAAAAATGCATTGAAAGTTTTCGAACGAGAAAAAAAGAGCCTCATTAAACAAGAATTTGTCACTAATCATTTTTCTTGCGCGCACAGACCAACGGTTAAAAAAGTGACACAAATTTTCCGAATGCCGCACAATTTCTGTACTGAAAAGGAAATGTCTGAAAACGCTTCGGTGAAAAATGATGGTTCCCAAAGTCAAGTAAAATATTCATATATGAAGTGCAACGACATAAAAATTAAAATTGATTATTATTCGAAGAAAATAACGGTCACATTTTTTTCTTCCTTTTTTATCCTCTTCACAATCGTTTTTAGTGTACATCGACACTTGAAACGATCACCAAAAGAGAACCGAGAAAAAAAAACACAGGCGGAATGCATAAAACCAACGAACATATCCTTTTTCAAACGAACAAAAAGCGCTCGGATCTTCTTTATTCGACAATCCTCTACAAGAACCAAAAGAATGCAGAGAAGAGAAAAAAAACACATCATATATAACAAAATGCAATAGGAAAAACGTAAAATCATTAATCGTATTCAGTGCGTTCGGCTTATTCAAAATCAAAACACACCCCGAACGAATGAACACACTGAAGGAAGAAAAAAAATTGAAAACAAAGTTGCCTACACACAAAAACACAACAAACCATCCAGTCTTCTCTAGTGTAATGCAGTCTGCAGAGTTGGTACAATAAACACACACACAAAATTTATAATATATAGTAGAAAAAGTGCAGAGTGACGACGAGGAGGCGAAGCAACGAAAAAAAGAAGAAGAACATTTAGGTTCCCACGCTCGCAAAAAGGTATTGATTGCATTCTGACAGACACATACACTGCACACCACACCACCGAAATGAAAACAACGACAAGCCCGTAACACATATCACATATTTTGTTGCATATAGATCGAAACACCAAGTGATTTAGAAGTACACATAGGTTAATATATCGGCCCAGGCAATTCAACTCCATCAACCAAAACCGAGAACTAGATATAACACAGAGACAGAGACAGAGAAAGAGGAGAAAGAGACGAGAAGGAGAAAATCAAAATGAAATCGGGAAAAATTTGAGGTCGAAAAAAAAAATATGTAACACAACAACATCGAATATATTCTACCTAGCGGCGTGTAGGTTGATCTAATATTAATGCAGCATGTAATACAATGAACCAACTACTGAATGCGCGCCAGAACCAATACACATACATGCAATGAATGCGCGGTAATCACATGCATCATCTCTGTTTTGAATCGAGGACGAACATTTTGTGCACAAACAAATACGATTCCGAGCCGAAAAAAAAGGATCTTTTGGATTTTTCCATTTCCTTTTCACCCCATAATTTTCTCTCTTTCTTTTCCACTCAAATCGCATAAATTCAGAACTCATTTTTAAACTGATCTTTCACTTTTGCGTCATTTACACAACGATGCAATAAAGATAAAATAAACATAGTGTGTTCTTAACTTGATTAGTTTTGTTTTGATAAAATGTTCGCTGTTGGTTTTCGATTGGCTTCCCAAAATAAGACCCAAAAAACTTACACATAAAGCCGTACGTAGAAAGAGAAACAACCTATTTCGATGTTTGAATTTATGCGGTTTATGACCAAGAGAAGATACACACGTTTAGATTAGATCTTGGCTGGTTTGAATTGACGAGCTCGTGTTTGTACTGATTTGAACAAAAAAATAATAATACAACGACACTGACCGTTATCTTTTCAAATCGTTTTGTATGAAATAGATTAAAACACCATATTTAGTTGTGGTTATTATCGAAGCCAGAACAGTTTGAATGTCATAGCTAATGATATATTATTTTTCTTTTCACAATTCGAAAACGAACCAAAATAAGTCTAACTTCAGGATTTTTATGAAATCATATTAACAATTTATTGTTTGACAAGATTATAAACGGCACTGCTGCATTCGATTTTCTTTCCTTCCTCAATGCAACCTGACTCATCCGTAACAATTCGATGCTTTTTCTCTCTGATTGAATAAATCGAAAAAGGGTTTTCGGTTGTTTACATTGCAATATTTTGATTGAGGATTTATGGATGATAGACACATTTCAATCCAAAAAATACGTGGGAAAAATGAATTATTTTTTTTTTGCAATATCGTCATCAATAATAAATCGGTGTACAAAAATGCGTCAATACGAAAAAAAAGTACCTATCAAATTTTGATATAATCAAAATTAAGCAGTCTATAAACGCTCATACAATAAAAAATATTTTTTATATTTGAAAAAAAAAAAAAAAAATCATAAATAATAAAAGAAATAAAGTTAGTGAGTTTTTGGCTGCGGTCAAAAGACTCGATGGGATTCCATCACGTAGATTTGGTTTAGAAGATGCAAGAAATGCCATGTATTATAAAATTAATTGACAATTTTATTGTTTGAGGTAATAAAACAAAAGGCTGAAGAAGACAAACTCGCAAAGAAATTACCATATTCTGAATAAATAAAACCGTCCGCGCGAGAGAGAGAGATAGGGAGAGAAAGAATGGATGGGTATGGCACGGCACATGATTGTTAGAATGAGGATTTAGCTGGAAAGGCGTTCGTTTTGTACGTGAGGTGAAATTATGGAAATATCATCATCATCCACATCGAAAGAGAGACTATCACAGCAACACTTGTTCTTGTGTTCCTTTTTGTACCGTGTCAACCAATAAATATATCCGAACAAGAATAAACCAAAAACAAAACAAAAAACAACTAACTACAATTTATTATTCTGATGTTGATGGTGGGTCTTCTCGTCTTTCACATTTGCTGTGCGCGATGGTTTGTTTTGTGCATTTCAGATTCTTTGTTTTATTTTTGTTGAAACCCATCATAAACAATAGAGATTTTTTTTTCGAAAGACTTTGCTTTTCAAACTTTAATATATGTAGTATTTTATGCTGGCGTGTTGCTGGAACGTATTCATGTATACATACGAATTCCACAAACGTTGGAAAAATTCCTGGTATGGAAATTAGACGCACGTAAAAAAAAACAAACTTATATGCGAACGAACGAAAAGAAATGTAAAAAAGTGAAGACAAAATCAGTGGAATATTGTTTCCGGATATGGTAAATTCGTATGTGCTGGCATGCAAGAATTGGCGGCCAAACAATTTATTCAAGTCGCCTTTTGACACATGTTTAACATCAATTTCTTAAGAATTGTGCTCATCAAAAATGCACTTTATTATACCGTACGGACGGTTATTTTAATTCACTTGTTTAAAAGCGAGTCAATCAGTTCAATTGCACACCTCTCAAACAAAGAGGCATTCACACGCACACACACACATTTTTTGTGCGTGTGCAACAGGGAAAAATCTAAAACAATTATATATTCTAAGAGCATGGATGGTATGACAGGTTTTTTTTTCTCTTCTTCAACTGCAAGAAAACAGTAATGATAATTGACATTTTACGATGCAAATGCAAATGGAATGCACAAATGGGAATTCCACTTAAATTTGTCTCTCGTTGAAAGTTTTCCATCTAATTAGACGACTACGAAAAAAAAAATCGGTGGCATAAAAAAACATTATTATATGATCGTGTGGGGAAAATGGGAATTTTCATGAAGGATTTTCTTAAACAAATATATGGCGAACGAGAAATAGATCGTTAAAAAAACAGTGGTTTGAAAAAAATGTTAATTTTTGTGAAAAAAAAAAAATACATACCAGACACAACCACTCCAACAGTTTTTTTTTAAAGCGATTATCGTATTATCAATATATGCGTGGTTCACATGACAAACTATTCGAGAGCAACCGATTCGATTTTGAATTGTGCATTCAATTGTGCACCTCGCATCTAATTCAACGTTTGACATTTGACTCCCTCGATTTCCTGCTCGACAATTCACTTATTTTACATATAAGAACTCAAGATGAAGTGAAGAGAAGAAAACATATTCGACATATTCGAGTATTCACCGAATTATGAGCAGAGTAATTTGATCGCATTATATCATGCCGAGATAAGACATTTAAGTCTGTAATTCTAATGTATTTATACTGAGGTTATAAGAAAGCGGTTACATGTCACTTTAAAGCGCCTAAATTTTGAACCATTTAGTTGGTAATTTGTTGATGTTAAGCATGAAAATTCACTATAAAAAGTCAAATAATTTGAAAAAAAAAAGAAAAAAATTCATGGCAAAAAATATGAAGGCATTGAGAAGGTATCGAGGCGAACGGAGACGAATTCAATGAATACAAAATATTTAAGCATCTGGTTAGTAACCAATTGTCATAATTTAGTCATAGGTAAAATTAAATCATCGAAATATTTCAAAGAGCTCTACGAACACCGAACGTGTTTTAAATAGACAAAATCATGAGTAAAAAAAATAAAAAAAATATGATCACTTCTTTGCCACAATTATCAAGATTGGATTGAGTCGAAATATTAAGCAAAAAAAAATAGTTTGTTATATTTTTTAATTATAAAAATTCGAATCGATTTATTTAATTTATTGCAAATAAATAAGATGTGATTTAATTTAAAAATGATACCTAATAAAATACTGATCAACGAAACAAATGTTTAAATTAAAATTTATATTTGGTTTGCCTGTTTAAAGTTCAAATGTGAACTAATTCGATGTAAAAATTAATCAATAAGTAATGGTTTTTTTCTGACTAGACCCTGTTACTACTACAATATATGAAAACGTTGTAGAATAAAAAAATCATCTACTCGCAAGAAAAATTAACCGACTAAACGATCGTACAGTTTCATTGACGCAATAATCGGTTCGTACAAAACTTCTCTGGCACCGATGCCCCATACAAAATCCATATGTTCTATAAAAAAAAAGGATTGAAATGATTAAAAACAAAAATTCCAAATATCAAGAGCGAAAATGACAGTTTAAATACTAAGTGCATACCAAATTTTTCATCAGGAATGTGATTCATTTGGGCATTCGGAAGTTTTGCATAAAGTCTTTGCACGTCCAACGGCGAACTCAGCCAATCATTATCGGAATAATGCAAGACGACACGAGTGAGAACGTTTCTCAAATTATAATCCGGAGGTGCTGGTAATCCATAACGACCCATGTTCTCTTCTTCACTTCCCCAATCAAATTGACAAAATCTTCCTGAACGCGCCTCTTGAACAAAATGAACCGCTTGAAAAGTAGCAGCACCAGCCGGGGTATGAGACAAAAAAACTGGGAACAATGTCTGTGAAAAACAAAACAAAAATTATACATTATGTTTTTTATGTGTTATTAATGTTTAATTCATGGGGAAATAAAATTGCTCATTAAGCGGTTATTTTGATTATTCATAGCAACGCACATTCATGAATCATAAAGTGAAACACTTACTGCATTTAAATTTCTCTCGTTGAAGCCGGTGATTAAAAAGAGTACACTTTCACAGATTGCAAATATTGGTGACTTTTCCCGGCATAATTGCTGACCGAGCAATTTGAACATGTCTATCGATGGCAGCAGCTCAAATGCACCAAACATTTCAGTGAGACCCTGTTGATGAGTGACAAGTTTGATATTATTGTTAAAAAAATAATTGAAAAAGAAAGGCGTCTTTGTGAAGAAGAAAAAGCAATGCTACTCACTCGCAAAGCGGCTGGTAGTAGTTCAGCAAATTTCAATATTGGACTGACTGCATTGTCCTAAAAGAAAGTAATGAATTTGAATTTTTTTTTAATTTCTGCACTTCTTTGGTCGATAATAATCTATTTTAGTTTTCAATAAACTTACCATATATGCAACGGGTGCCAAAGCATGCATCATTTTAATTTTTGCATTGTATTCCGGCCGTTCGGAGAGCATAACGAAAAAGCTTGTAGTGCCTTGTGAATGGCCAATGTAAAACAAATTTTGTTGTCTGGTTGTATTCAAAACATAGTCAATCATAGATGGTAGATCAATGGTGCCTATTTCATGCCAACTGAATCGCCAAAAGTGTTCTCGATCTTCACGACTACCATCTGGATCATATAAGGCATGTTTTCGGCTATAAACATTTCCACGGGCATTGCCTGATAACCAAAAGAAGAATGAAAAATTGTATTGCAAGTATTCATTGGCTGCTTTAAATTTCTTATTAAACCATCTAAGGAATTTAAACCAAATAGAAAGAAACCGAATTGAATGCGGGAAAATACATACCCATCCATACGTCATATCCAGCATCCGACAATGCGTAGCCTATTGATAAAGAATGACACATTAGTTTTCTCAATTAAAAATTCTCAAAAAAAAAAAGAAAAAAAAGAACAAAGAATGAGAGCGAAAAATTTAACAATTGATGTGCAATTCTGCATACCTAAGCCATGATTTTGTCCAGACATAACCCAAGTTGCTGAACTATCAAGAAATCCATGCTGTAGAAAAACGACTGGCTTTTCCTTTGAATATGCTCTAAATGGTGAAGACACAATTCGATGCACTTCTAAAATATAACCATCTGGAGTAACGACACGGTGTACTTCAGTGGCGTATCCACGTTTATATGGTATCAATGGCTGAATTGAATGAAAGAGAATGAAAAATTTATTGATAAAGTCCAAAACTACTAAAAAAAATGTAAAATGTTGTACACTAATGAAAAATCTTTTTAAAAAAATTAATAATACCGTTGGAAGAAGTGAATCTTGATAAACTTCGGGTTCAATTGGTGGTAAATTCGCCATTTGTGATTCGGTCAATGAGAATGTCGGTAAACTTGGATTTCCAGCATGTTGCACATTTGAATCATGCAAATTTGGAAGGGATTGTCTTTTAGTAGCCGCGTGTAATGACTTCAAAAATGCACTCACAATCAATGCGCAAACTAATTTCTTGTTAATCATTGTAGTCACAATTCAAAATGAATAAAACAGAAAAAAAATCACTCGATGCCACTTGAAATTCTAACGAAATAATTTTTCTCGGAAATTTTGGCAAAAAACAAAAAAACGAAATGTCTTGAGTCGTTCGGTGAATGTGACAGTTGTCAATTTTACACAAGTACTGTATGACACTTTCGATGAATTCAACGTTTTGATATTGTTTAAAATGTTGCCCGTTGTATTTATACCAGAAATGAAGCCCACGGTGTTTATTTGTTTGGCCAAGGTCTACAAAAATTGCCACACAATCAAAACGCTGAAACAAGAACTATGTTGATATAGTGCCCTAAAGTGAGCTCTGTGTGTGAGAGACTCATTAGCAGCCGATTTTGTTGTTTGACAGTAACGTGATGTTTGATGATTTATTTCGAAAATCACGTGGAAAATTAATAGACGAAATGTTGCATCGCATGCGTGACTTGACACAAATTGCATAAACCGCACACCAATATGGATTTCATTGAAAAAGAAAAAATTTAAAAGCGAAAACAAAAACAATCATTGCATCCCGTTTTTACCTTAAATAGTATGTATACCTCGATGTGCTTCTAATCAAATTGAAAAAATTTCTCAATGGAAAAATTTTGATAATAACATTCGAAAACCAGTTTGCATACACGGAATTATTTATATTGTCTATCTCTCTCTCTTGAAAGTTTGAACGAATTGTATTATTGTTTTGTTTTCAATTGAAGTCTCGCTGTTTTAAATTAGATATATCCAGGAATCCCCCAAAATCTTTAATGACGTTAGCATAACCTAGTTTGTTCGGATGAGCGACATAGATAACGCACCTTTTTCGTATAATGTTATGATGAAATGACTTATTTTTCACCTGTCATGGAGCGTTAGCACAAAGAACTTTCTGGACCGGTTTTGGCCGACGACCGCGTAATTCCCAAACAGCATCAAAACTTTCCGCCGATTATGATGATAAGCGTGACGAAGAGTTTTTTTTTACACAATTATCAATTCACGTGCTTATCAGCCAGCAAATGTTTATAGTTGTGCCTACAGCTGTTCTTTATTAGTTCACACACTCTACATTTGAACTTACAATTCATTATCGACCAAGTTTGTTCAGTAAACAAACAGCGTTGAATATTACCTTATCACTAGCTCTCGTGTGTTTATTGCCAATTTTTCGGGAAAGATTTTTTTTTTAAGTTTACGTTTTGAAATCACTAGGAAAACTATCAACATTACACAATGCAAATGTGTTTTGTTTTGATTTCCAAAAGTCATGGAAATTCCTGTTTATATTTTCCTCAAGTGTTATACAAATGACGGCCTTAGAAGAAAACAATAACATACAGAACATGCTGCAAATAATACTAATACAAATTTTATGAGAGCAAAAACCAAATATATAAAGAGACAGC